CGGAATATGGAGATTCGAGGTTTCCCCCCTGACAGCGACGATATTTTGCATTTCAGTAAGTATTCCAGAATTGTATCAAGTATTTCAGAGAGATTTGTTTGTAATACCACCAAATATCCAATGCCCGCTGGCGGTTTGAAGAATCTTTGTGTTTCTTTTCAGCTTGATCTGACACAATCGAAGCTACACTGACCCTTCTTGCTAATTATCTGCTGAGTCATTAAGAGCTGGGGTAAGGGCAGATGTTACGATCTATGGCCCGATGTGTCATCAGGCTTTTGTAAATCTAAATATAAATGCGAGAAGAAACAGCCCGCATCATCTGCTTCATTATGGTGGAGATTCACAATATTACAGAGGATTCGAGTGGAACGGAGCTGGTCGCCACCCACTCCTGTTAGCTGCCACCCACCCACCTACACACACACACACACACACACAAACAAACACACATGAGCATAGACTTAATTAATGCCAGTTAATCACAATTCCATCAGAAAGCAAACAGGCTGCTGAAGTGACTACACACACAGAGAGAATCCATGATCTGCTGCGAATCCAAAAAAACACCAGCACCATTCTGAGGAATGTGCTGAACGAAAAGGGAAACACATGCGCACAACACACACAACACACACACTCACATATACGTGCACACGCGCACCCTCGCACGCACGGTCTCCATGGAAACAAGTGGAAGAGCGGCCCGTCCCACTCTCTTCTGTGGACCGACAGAGGATGATGAGGAAGAGAGAGGAAGAATGAAAAGAGATTCAACATACAGAGAGAGAACAGCAGAGACAGAAATAAAGGCGAGAAAGCATCACTTTGTAAGGGAATATTGCATGAAACCAGGCTCAGTTTGCGTTACAGACAGTCTCAGTACACTGTTCAGAGCGTGTGCATCTGGAATCCCCGAGCAGAACTCAAAGCCAAACGCTGCCTTGACACCCAACAGCTGAGACGGTGGGAAACACTGCACTGCACCACAGCACTAATGTATACAGCGTCCAGGAAACCCCCTCTTGTGTGGACTGAATACTAATAACCGTGATATGATTGGCTAGCACTGATGTAAAACCGTGTCACATACACGACTTAGATGCTCGTATGAAGTTTCCTAGAAAGGGAAAAAGTACAGTGAAACAGTGTACAGTGTAAAATAACAGCGGAGGTACCATGGTACAGTGAGGGAATCACAAGGTAATATCATTATATTTTGAATATTTAATGTACTTTGTGATTACCTTATTCATATGCAATTGTATTTGCAAAGTACACCAATCTATGTCAAAGAATACCATGGTATAATTACCTGTAGGCTACATGTTAAAAAAAAAACATGGTAAAAAGTAGCTTCCCAGGCAACTCATTACTTTTACATTCATACGAACTATTATACAAAGCAAATTAAATTGCTTTACTTTAGATTCATGCTCATAATTCAAAATACTTAAATGTTTCTAAAATGTTATCGAAATTATATATATATATATATATATATATATATATATATATACACACACACTCACCTAAAGGATTATTAGGAACACCTGTTCAATTTCTCATTAATGCAATTATCAAATCAACCAATCACATGGCAGTTGCTTCAATGCATTTAGGGGTGTGGTCCTGGTCAAGACAATCTCCTGAACTCCAAACTGAATGTCGGAATGGGAAAGAAAGGTGATTTAAGCAATTTTGAGCGTGGCATGGTTGTTGGTGCCAGACGGGCCGGTCTGAGTATTTCACAATCTGCTCAGTTACTGGGATTTTCACACACAACCATTTCTAGGGTTTACAAAGAATGGTGTGAAAAGGGAAAAACATCCAGTATGCGGCAGTCCTGTGGGCGAAAATGCCTTGTTGATGCTAGAGGTCAGAGGAGAATGGGCCGACTGATTCAAGCTGATAGAAGAGCAACTTTGACTGAAATAACCACTCGTTACAACCGAGGTATGCAGCAAAGCATTTGTGAAGCCACAACATGCACAACCTTGAGGCGGATGGGCTACAACAGCAGAAGACCCCACCGGGTACCACTCATCTCTACTACAAATAGGAAAAAGAGGCTACAATTTGCAAGAGCTCACCAAAATTGGACAGTTGAAGACTGGAAAAATGTTGCCTGGTCTGATGAGTCTCGATTTCTGTTGAGACATTCAGATGGTAGAGTCAGAATTTGGCGTAAACAGAATGAGAACATGGATCCATCATGCCTTGCTACCACTGTGCAGGCTGGTGGTGGTGGTGTAATGGTGTGGGGGATGTTTTCTTGGCACACTTTAGGCCCCTTAGTGCCAATTGGGCATCGTTTAAATGCCACGGCCTACCTGAGCATTGTTTCTGACCATGTCCATCCCTTTATGGCCACCATGTACCCATCCTCTGATGGCTACTTCCAGCAGGATAATGCACCATGTCACAGAGCTCGAATCATGTCAAATTGGTTTCTTGAACATGACAATGAGTTCACTGTACTAAAATGGCCTGTACTGTACTGTACTAATAAAGTGGTGGAACGGGAGCTTCGTGGCCTGGATGTGCATCCCACAAATCTCCATCAACTGCAAGATGCTATCCAATCAATATTTCTAAAGAATGCTTTCAGCACCTTGTTGAATCAATGCCATGTAGAATTAAGGCAGTTCTGAAGGTTTGAAAATATACATAATATGTACATTATGTATATTTACAAACTTTCATGTTAGATGCAATTAATAAATGTATTAATAATTTATTAATTAAACAATTTGATTAATGATTAAATTGATTATGAACAAATTGATTAATGAATGAATTATTAATAAATTGATTAATTGCATCTAACATTATATATATAGATTTATATATATATAGATTTATATTATGTTAGATATAATTAATCAATTTATTAATTATTCATTAATTGATCAGTTTGACAGCACTAATAATCAACCAATAAATAAATCATTTTTGGAACTGCATTATTTACACAAACCATCTGGCAAACTAATTTGTAAAATTATTTGGGATTCAAAGCGCTACATTTGAGAGAATGGTCATTTCTACTGTAAAGTGCATATATTAGAATGTGATGTTAAAACAGTGATGTACTGTAGGTTGTAATTGTAAACGTTTCGTCACGTTACACACTCATTTGGAAAAGTGCTCGTTACTGTAAAACAGGAATGTCAAAAGTTACTCTGATACAAAGTCAATACTAAAATTATAAAGATAACAGTCTTTCTGTGGTATTGTTAGTAGCAAATTCAATTGGCACTCACACATCATTAACCGGTGGCTTTCGCTGACGTGTGTTTGCGCACATGCTCTGTGGAGACCTCTCATGACTCAAATCTGATTTGGATAAAAATATCAGAGCTGTGAATTAGACGTAAGGCCTGTTGCATGAAGCTAGTTAAACATAGTCTGAGTTTCAGAGTAGGTTTAGAGTTGACAAAACCCAACAAATCCAACCAGGTTTAGATCAGATTCAACAGGCTCGGAATAAATGTTCTCTGTCAACTCAGGGTTTGATCCAGAGTTTGTGTTTGTGATGAACTCTGAAGCGTGTACACCCGAAAGTGTGACACGTGCAGCGAACAGCCAATCACACGGGACATGGAGAGCGTCGGTTTGAGTCACTTCTCGCAAAAGAGAGCAGAACAATTCACTTCTCTCTCCTTTATTTATTTATTCTATGATACACTTACATCCCATTGTTTTTGTCCGTACTGTACAATTAAAGTTCATAAGTTTTAGTGTTGTTCCGACCACACTGTTCTTCATAATATCTTATTTTGTGTTTCACAGAAGTAAGAGATACATACAGGTTTTGAATGACATCTCTTTAAGTAGTAACCCAGCATTGTCATATCCAAAAAACATGGTGTTACTATGGTGCATGTCAAAAAAACTTGACTACCATTTTCAAAAAATAAATAAATAAAAATACATTGCATTACAATGGCGAATGTTCAAAATGGTAACATGGTAAAAAAAAATTTTGTATAAATAGTAGGCTATGTTCAATGACTTTTTCATTTGCCAGCATCATACACAAATATTACATGTAGGTGAGGACATTGTGTTTCCGGTTGGAGTCGTGATTGAGATTCTGAACACTATCGGTTAGAAAATCACAGGTCTTCGCACTATATTGCTTCTCGTACGAGTTACGCAATGACAGAGGTAGAGCGACAATATTTACACAGTCTTGCTCACTTGAACACATAATCTCATTCACACTAGCACACACAGTCTAACACACTCACACACACAGACGCGAGTGTGTGAGAGGTGCTGATGGCTGTCAAATGCTCAGCCCCTGCAGTGTGGAGAGTTTCAAGTGAGCTGAAGACGCAGCAGACGTTTGGCTCAGTGTGTAACAGAGCGGCCAAGGGAGAAAGACAGAGAGAGATAGAGACAGAAAAAGAGAAGGATGAATCTTCATCAGTCAACCCGAGCGCCAGGGTTTCGCACGACTTCTCGTGCTGGCGAGCCTGGAGCCCAAGAACCATAGACAACCTCTAGTCCGCCTCCTACCGCGCCACACGCAAACGCACAGGAACTCGATGTGCCCCGTGTAGCTGTTGGCATGTCCTCGCGTGAAGGATGCCCTGCCGTCAGGCTGCAGAGCATAAAATCACATCTCTCCGCTTGGAGAAGGTTGCAATATTGCTAGGCAACGTTCCTGCAACATTCACACTCTCTTTCTGGCCTCTCCAGTTCAGAAATAGAGGTACAGCCTGTGCCCGCCACACTTGAGCAGATGTTAATGTCTCCATTGAATTAGAAGATCACACGGTAACAGCGTTGCAACCTAAGTCACGGACACCTGTACCAGAAATGCGCTCACTTAGATTTAGACCTACGGCGGTATACGAATCAAACTGAAAAAACCACATTCAGGATTAACTCTGACACATTCCCCAACACCAAATCAACAGGACAAGCTTCATTCATTTCTCAGAGCAACTGGTTCTTCAGTGATACTGACTTGTTCTGATTGGACTTACCTCTGTGCAGGAAGCATCACATATAAGTCTTCTTCAAACCATCCCAGAAAACCAAAGGATAGTTATGAGAGAGAGAGAGAGAGAGAGAGAGAGAGAGAGAGAGAGAGAGAGAGAGAGAGAGAGAGAGAGAGAGAGAGAGAGAGAGAGAGAGAGAGAGATTACCAGGGAAAAATAAAAAATAAAATCACACACACAGGCTGATAGTCCAAGCAGCCTGGGGGAAAAAAACCCAGCTACTCTCTGTCTTTTCCCGTTTGACCGTTCCCCCCTCTCTCTGCTGTCTCTCTTTCCCGTCGCCTCCCCAAGAGCAGAGGAGTGGAGAGGAGAGGAGAGGAGCCGATCTCCCCAGCGCTGGTGTTAAGCTGTGCGTTTAGAGCTCCTCTGCAGCGTTCTCGGCATCTTCCACGGACTCCACTGGTACACAGCAAAACATGGAGCCAGATACCGGATTCAGGATCGTTGATTGCCACTGGCCCCTGCTCACTCAGGAATACTAATCTGTATTCTTCTTACTTCATCTCCATCATTCGTCATCCTATTCTGCTCTCAATGTAAATGTCAAAATCATGCCTCATATCCAGTCGAGGGGGGTGGGGGTGGGGTGGGGGATCGATCCTGTTGAAAAAAGGAATCCTCTTTCTCTTATGATGAGGATGATGATGGTGATGATGTCACTGTTTAATTTTTTTCATTTCTGCATCATTGTCATCACTGATGGACGGAACCTGAGATGGGCGCATTAGGATGCCCGTAATTTGGGAAACACATTAGTGCACTTAGGAGAGATGCTAATCGCTAGGTTGTTAACAATTACAACATGTTTTGTCTTGACAAATCTAATTTTAATACAGAACAGAGTTGATAGCAGTGTCTGTGCCCGGTTGCATAAAGCACCTTAAGTTTTTCTCTTAAGTATGATACTTAAGGGGCGATTTTCCCTTACCTAAGAGAATAACTTAAGGGTGTTGCATATAATCTCTTAAACAGTTCTCTTAGGTAAGGGAAACATTTAAGTGTTTCACGACAGCGATCCTGGATTCACGTTATAAAAGTCTGTTGTTGCCATAGATACGCAAAACACTAACACTAGCAATTTCGCGGTTTCATCAAATAAAGTAGGCTAGGATTTCGGAATGGATAAAGAAAACAAAAAAAGAAAGCCTAATTGGACAAAGGAGGAGAAATGTATTCTTCTTGACGAATATGGTAAAATAAAAACAATTTTGAAAAGCAAACTACGGGATGGAAACTTGACCGTTGCGTTTAAATGATGGGAAAGAGCCCCCGCAACCCGGTGAACCACTCTGCTGACAGACAATTTATGCACGTGGAAAACATCTCCCACTATCGTCTGAAAACTCCCAGTTGCAAAAAAACGCAGTGCTATAAGCAGTTGTAACACCGCAGGTAAAGAGTGGTTGTGATGTGTGACATGGTCAAGGTCGCCGTCTACTTTGTTAGCGATGTCAAATATTGCGCGTCGATCAAACCGGTATTCTTGCAACAATTTTTCATCGCTATTAAGATGGTCCAAAGGGTTCTCCCTATCCCTAAAAATTCTTCTTGGCACATAATGACCTTCAGCTGGTTCCATAAATTCAGCCATGTCGTCTTATTTTTGTCCGCGTTACTCTTAAGGTTACGATTTCCAAACCTTAAGTTATACTTCGGGAAATGACCGTAAAGGGGTTTTATGCAACACTTAACACGATTACTTAAGTGAAAAAACATCATTTAAGGGAAATTCTAAGTGTTTATGACGTTTCACTTAAAGAAACCCTTAAGTAACACTTAAGGTTTAAGGGAAACATAAGGGCGAACTTAAGGGAAAATTACACTTAAGGTGCTTTATGCAACCGGGCACTGGTGCTAATATGAGACCGGGCTAGCTTAGCATTGAACTTTGGTACTCTCTTCAGTTATACTGCCAAATATGATCAAGTCTGGCCTCTAGCAAACATTTGCTAGTACTTTTGCTTCACGTAGGTGTTTTTTTCCCTTCATTTGGTGTGCAACGTATGTAATGTTAAATATTGTATGATGTTTTATTAAAGATGCAGTCTGTAAGAATGACAGCTAGTGGTCGAAATCGGTACTGCAGTCCAAATTCAAAATATCGGAGATCGTTGTTTCCCCCCGCCCCCGCTTCCTCAGACTCGACGCTCACGCGGGTTGCCAGTTTAAGGACACGCAACAGAAACGAGCGCAATTGACAATGAAAGCCGAGGAGACTTACACACTTGTAAGTTGATGAGTTAATTTATCCGCGTTTTAACCCTTTATCGGGCGAGGAACCATATTTGGTAACTTAATCGCGCATTCAAACTGACTCTCCCTTGCCTGTTTGCGTTGTCGTATGAGCGCATATATTTCTCCTTGCCAATCAGCGAAGATCAGGCTACGTCACTGATAGTCACACCATGGCATCTGACCAATCAGAAGTTGCGCGGAGCATTTCAAACTTCAGTGTCGTTCCGGATATTGGAAAGTGAGGTTTTGCGCTACTACCTACTCCCACATCAGCGCTAATAACTTCAAAACAAAAAATGGTAAGTTGATGAAACTCACACATTCTATGGTTGAATAGTTGTGCAACATGTTGAGATAGGTGTTGTTTGCATTGATTTCTTGAAAGTAGTGACATTTGTGGCATGAAAAATGGTGAGACCATATTTGATCATACGCCCTGTTCACGTAAGATTAGCGCAAGTGATAGGAAGACCATATTTAGACATACGCCCTATGCGTGTAGAAAAGCCGTACTAGGGTATTTTTTCTACAAATAATGCATTATAACCACAGTCTATGATTATAATGTAGGACAATAGTATTTACTAGTGCATTTGATGTTATCACAGGTTTGAATAACATTTTAAAGTGATCCAGTGGGAAACGTAACACAATTATAGACATTTTCAACCCATATTAGATATTGAAATATGTTTGGTTTTGGTCAGTTTTATGACCTTTATAACAGTTTTTAATACTTATAATGATATTTTGCACTTCTTATTATATATTTACATATATTATGACAGACCAGTCCAATGTTACTCACTTATTTTTCTTATTATTTATATTTCAGTAGATCTGCACTTCACTGTTACTCAACAAATAACTCAAACTGGGCTTGATATTGACTCAAAAATGTACTCTCTGTTCTTTGCAGCTATCTACGTGAATCTTTTACGGCAAGAGGGAGACAGTTGTGCCAGCCCACCCCAGCATCAGTGATGATGAGGGCTCTGAGGAGGAAGATGATGATGTGGCAGACCCTGACTTCCTCCCACCCACCCACAACCTAGACACTCCAGGCCAGAGTGATATAGACCCCTCTGCCAAGAGGTGTAATTTAATTTTAAATGTTCCTAATAATAATTGAAAATGTTCCTAAATAAATATTTTTATGTTTGTAACAAGTTTATGTGTTTTTATTATATTTTTATATATACACTTTTTAAGGGGAAAAACAATTACCCTAGTCTGGCGAGGAACCATATATGGTAACTTCATTGCCCTTGATTTCCAACCTAAAAAAATATATTTTTTTAAAAACTCACAAATGTTTAGAAGTCTTATAATATCCTCCAATAACACTCTATGGTTGAAATTTAGAATTTCCAAGTATTTCAATGAGTGAAATACTCACTTTCAATGAGTGCCCTATAAAGGGTTAATATGGGTAGAATCTGCAATCTCTAGGCTTGGGAATTGGTTCCAGGTTCCGGTTTGGAACCGGTTCCAAATGTTCCGATCCATCGGAATCGTACACGTCCACACGTTAACGATTCCACTAACGATTCCGATTTTTCCGTTCCATCCATTCCCGAGTCGCGGCATGACGTTACAGTATGCGACTGGATTTTTAAATCCCCCAAAAGCGCGATGGCTACGAGACGTAAACGATCGAGGGTGTGGCTTAATTTTAAATGCAGACCGGGGAAGCAAATCTGGGCGACACAACCCCTCCTGTCATTTCAGCTCCAATGACGGCATCAAAACAATGAAAGCATGGCGAAGCGGCTCTCCACGGCTCTGCTTTCGACGGCGAAAAAGTTAAGAAACTCTACGCTATAAGCCCTCAGTACCGAGCCGAGCAGTTCGCACGTGACTTTTATGCAGTGTTTCCCACACATAAACTAATTCGTGGCCACAAAATCAACTCCGGCCGCCACATATTGCGTGTCGTTCATTTTTTTATGCTATTTAAAACACGCAGCGTATTCTTTCCGTTGTATTTCCTTTCCCCGCTCTCCCTCCGTCTCTCTATTACTCACGCGTCTCTCTCACATACACGCACACACACACACACACACACACACACCGCGTCTGTCTATGAGGCGCCGGACTGGACAAAATTGGCTATGAGGCGCGACACTGGGCAAGAGAGAGACAGAGTGTGACTTTTATTTAAACTTATATAAACGAATATAATTTATTTTACTGGACAGTTTAAAGCTCATAACCATATTTTGTTGTTACTTGAAGAGTGCAGTGTCATGTGGAATCATGTCCTGAAAAGGCTACTCAGTAAATGTCTGTAATTTAAGGTCATTCCTATTTTATTTGTATACATTTTAATCATTAACTTTAAAAGCACACTCTTTTTATGACTAAAATAACAGTAAAGGGTAAAAAAAAAATAATTCCCAAAAATTAAAACGGAAAAAACGGAATTTGGGAAAAATAAAACGGAATTTGGGAAAAAATAAAACTGATTTCATAGGGCCCTAGATATTGCACACTTGGTTTTCATTCTCTAAAACCACTTTAAATTAGACATTCAAAGCCAACAACTCTCAAAGCCACCCTGTAAGTGTTCAGCAAATGGTACAGGAATTGATATGGGAATCGATAAGGAATCGCATCGATAAACAGACTCGACAATGGCATCGATATCGATAATTTCTTAACGATGCCCATCCCTAGCAATCTCTGACCCAATTTGTTTGCTGGCTGCAATTTGCTGCATTTCCTGCCAACTGGTAACCTGTGGTGTTGAAATACTATTGGGTAATCTGGCAGTGGGCGGAATCACACAGACCAAAACATAAACAGACTTTCCAACACGGAACGCACATTTCAAAG